TGGAGACTTTGCCGCTCCGGTCCAGGTCGAGGGCGGTGAAGGCGTGCCAGATCGGTTTCAGCAGCTCTTCCTTCAGGGTTCCCATGGCCGCCGGCGCAAGATGCGCTCCGCGCTCCTCTCGCCTGGTGCGCCTCCCTCGGCCCGGGTCTCTGCAGCAGGGGCTGCTCCCGCACAAAGGCGGCGTCCTCGCCCAGGAGCCACCCACCCACCGACTGACGCGACGAGGAAGTGAGAGGCCTGCAGGCTTTCCCGCGGCTAAAAAAGGGGGCACGTCGAGCCTCGCTCCCTCCTCCGGCCGAAGCCCTCGTTGGGGCGTCGCTGCGGTGGGAGCAACAAGCCGGCGGCGGCGGGGAGCGGAGTTTTCTCCTGCGAAAGAAAGCTGAGCTCAGCTGTGGCGGGGTGGGCGGGGCTAAATCTCTCCGCCTTTCCCAGAACAGGAAAACTTGAGAAATCGAGGCGAGATCGCACTTTTTCAGCAATCCCTGGTACAATATACAGTACAGTAGATGGAAATGCCTCACGCCCTAGTACTTGCATCCGCTAGACTAGATCATGTACTTCGTAGAATGACTTGTGATTGAACTGGAAGCTTCCACGCGGTGAAAAGGAATCAGAAGCGTCGGCCCTGGTGATACCAGCATTTCCCTTTTCTGAAAAGCAATCGAGGATATTGGGTAATGGGATGGAGTATATTCGAAACTGCGGCATAGTATTCCTCCTCAAAACTCGTCCGAAGAAAGCAGCTTTAAGTAGGGGTTGCATTTCAAGCTTTAGTTTAGCATATTCGACTGCTGCTTTCTATGGACAGGTTCACGGTCTGTGGGTGTCCGCTGGGCTTTGCATGGTACGAATGGAGCAGACCTGCCGGAGTCCGCAGGCGCTGGTTCAGGACTGTACTGGCTGGCTTCCTAGTAGGGTTGTGTGTCTAGCAGTTAATACGACTTGCTAACAGATCTTTACATGCCAGTAGAGTTGCACTGATAAACCTTCCAGCGTGGGTCACCGATCAGCATTCCAGAAATTGTGTTAATAGACATAACAGAGGCAGTGTTTCAGAGATTTCTAGGCGGGACAGGATAGAGAGATTAACTGCCTGGGGCAGGAAAAACAACAAGTATCTTGAGAAGTTTCTCAAATTTATAACAAGACAAGCATCATATAAATAAAAGTATCTCGTCTTGTTGCCAGAATTGCACACCTATGTCTTTTATTCTTAATTAGCAATAGCAACTGCAGTTGTTCCTAGGACCTAGAGGGAGTGGCAAATCAAAATGATTGGCCAGAATCTTATTGCTATGTGAATAATAAGGTTGCTATAACTTGCTGTGGGTTAATAGCAGTTAGTTGACAAGGAGCCAAGGCACATCTAGGTTGTCTGCCTGGTCAAATGCACCAATTCCACAACCAAGATGCATCCCAGCATTTTCCCAATTACCAACAGGAAGTCATGCAGGTTTTATACAGGAATCAAATACAGTGGACCCTTGACTTACAGATGGCTTGACTTACAGACTTGTTACCAACAGGAAGTCATGCAGGTTTTATGCAGGAATCAAACATTTTAAGAGTAAAATTATATCTGGATTAGTTTTTGTCAACAGCAGAATTGCATTGGATGATCACATGCATCTTGAGGTTATCAAACTCAGAACTCTTTCTGTTGGTTGTCAGTATGTTCTTGTTTCTGGAGGAACTCCATTTGACATTACAAGAGGTTATAGGAAAAAATATGGGGAAAAAATCTGGAGAAAATTGTGGCTTGAAGTCCTCAAGGTTTGTTTTAAGTCCATTTAGAATGTTCCCTTTTTAAGAGTAAAATTGTCATATCTGGATTAGTTTTTGTTAACAGCAGAATTGCATTGGATGATCACATGCATTTTGAGATTATCAAACTCAGAACTCTTTCTGTTGGTTGTCAGTATGTTCTTGTTTCTGGAGGAACTCCATTTGACATTACAAGAGGTTATAGGAAAAAATATGGGGAAAAAATCTGGAGAAAATTGTGGCTTGAAGTCCTCAAGGTTTTTTTTAAGTCCATTTAGAACGTTCCCTTTTTATTTGGAACACGCTGCAGTTTATCACTAGATTTTTTTAGCCACTTTTCCCCTTTGCTCACTTTAAATCACCCTCAGTTCTTTTCAGTTTTCAGTGCATCAGTGTTACATTCCTACAGTTTCAAGATGAATGATTGCTCTTGATAAACTAACTACTGGAGTTAGATTCTGTATATGCCAAGTTTCCAGCCAAGGTTGCAAAAAATGAATCTCGCACAATCTTGATGATTCCAGTCAGTCAGATTCTTTAACTGTCCACTGAAAAGAATCATAATTTGTGGAATAATACAGGTCTCTCAATATATCACAACAGATTGGGAAGCAAGAGCCAAAGTAGGAGCAATTTCATTTAACTTTGGTGCTCAAAGTGAACTTTTCCCATTTGAAATTATCTACATCAGGATAATTGCTTCATATCTCTTCAGTCACTCTGAATCACGCATGTGCAAGTCACACATGTGCAAGGCATGAGATATGGATCATTTTCAGATGAAGAAATTTAAGTCTCTTGGCTGCCTTAGTCATGTATGGAGTGGTGTCTGTTACAAAGAGAAGGATGTTTTCCCTTTTTACACTATCTGGGCGGAGTAGTTTTATGGAATCGTTGAAGAGCATAGCAATAGTAGAATTGTTTACTTTTTGAAGAGTTTCACATATGAGATGAAATATTTCACTAGACTTGTCACACTTCAAAGTGCCAATAATAACATAAGTTACATATCTTTCATTTACATCACTTGTTTCATCTACTAAAACCACACACCTTTCCCTCAGCCGCTGCAGCCAATTAGGTGAGTCAGGCAGCCTCATGACTACCTGTCTCCTTTATGTCATTTGCTGGCTTGTCAAGAGGGCTGACAAGCCAATGGCAAAAATATAACATTTATTACAAAAATAAGCAGAAATATGACTTAACTCTTTAAAAAAGTAAAAATATAACTTTCCAAGCAAAATAAAAACAATGTAATCCTCACTGGAATACTTGTAAACATGTTTAAACTTACTTATAAATTCAAATATAGGTTGCAGAAAAAATATGACATGTAATAGAAATCCTCACCTTAATTATAACACTTAGCAAAAATTTTCCTAATGAACTGAAGGGAATTGTTGTTCTCATTGCAGTTTAACAGTAAAACATTTGCATTATTTCTATTTTTTTCTTATGCTCAGAATCATGGACATTTTAATTTGGAAATTCTGGTCACTAAAATTTAATGGGATTTCTTAATGCCAATACTTAGGCTGGCAATGTCTATTAAACTGTGATCACTACCCAAGCTACCTCTTCATAACCAGGGGCATACCAGTGTGGTAGCGAATATAGCCACAGATGAAGACCCGGGAAACCCTGGCTCAAATCCCTGCTCAGCCATGAAAACATGAGGCTGCCTGACTCAATCACAGTGACAGAGTGGTAGAATCTACCAGATGGGCGGGATATAAATCAAATAAATAAATTCCTGAGAGGTGACAATGGTAAAGCACTCTTTGAACACTTCACATACCGCAAAAACACTATCATGGTTGCCATACGTTGGATATGACTTGACGGCACACAACACAAACACACACATTTTATACCTAGCCAGTCCAAGAGTGGAATGGCTTTAATTAATCTGACAAAAGCGCCTTCACAGCAGTGATACTGGGAATACCTTCCATGTACAGTTTGAGAGGCAGAAACTGGGTAAGTTTCAAATAGTTTCCGGCTTCCTGTTTGTTTTCACAGACATCCTGTGGCTCATAACTGGCTGTTCTCTGTTTTGCTGATCTTGCTGTAAATTCTTAATGATGTTTATATTGTATTTATGGAATTTGGTTGTAATTTTACAGCTTATTGTATGTAAACTGTCTTGACATTTTATTGTATCAAACATCAGTAAGTTCTACAAATCAGAAATGAATAAATGAAAACACTCCCTAAGAGGTATAGAAATACCATGTTTCTCCGAAAATAAGACAGGGTCTTATATTAATTTTTGCTCCAAAAATACATTAGGGCTTCTTTTCTGGGGATTTTCCCCCCTTGTACAACAATCTACATTTATTCAAATACAGTAATGTCATCTTCTGGTTGCTGAACAGTGGGGTAGGGCGGGGTTCCACTTAACTGGGGCTTATTTTGGGGGCAGGGCTTATATTACAAGCATCCTGAAAAATCATATTAGGGCTTATTTTCAGGTTAGGGCTTATTTTCAAGGAAACAGGGTAGAGACATGGTTCCAACAGTTCTAGAAACACTGCTAAAACCTCCTACAAATGAGGGACTGGGCTAGTAAAAAAAAACCCACATGCTGTTCACATACAGAGGGAGTCAGTCAATTCAAGACGATGGGCCCACCCTTGTAACACAGCAGCCACTCACCCACACAAAATGGCGGAACAACACTCCCAGGGCCAACAACACTATAGTGGCACGGGCAGCCCAGGTCCCCCGGCTGCGTGCCATTGCAGAGCACGGTATGCAAAAGGAAGGAGGGAGAGCTATCAAAAGCCCAAGAGGAGGTCTTATTGGTGATGGCACAGCTACTGCCATGGCGTCCATTAATCTGACAAAAGTGGGCCTTCACAGCAGTGACAGTGTGGAATACCTCCCGTATACAGAGGTAGAGACTGGGCAACCAGCAAAAAGATAGCTCCTGGGATGCTCTGTTGGTGTAGCCCTCCTAGGACAAGGGCCAAGCTTGGAAAGTAACATTAAAAAGGAATAGTTTCTCCCCTCACTCATGATAGTGTTTGCAAAGTAATATTATTCATTCCAATGTTGCAAAGAGTAAAATTATTTCATTGCTTTTTTCTTACTTTCTGTTCCTTTTTTAAAAAACAACACATTAAGCAAATATCAAACTTGGAAAATTTCTATCATTAATTGAATAACCTTTATAAATAACTTAAAATGACTTTTAAAAGTAATTAAAATATTAGACTTTAGAACAATACAACAACTACTTGTTGAGTTACATTCTTAGAGAAGAATGTGCATCTTCAGGACCACTTAATACAGTGGGGTCTTGACTTAAGAACGGCTTGAGTTAAGAACATTTTGACTTAAGAACCGCTCTCATAGGAAAATATTGACTTGACTTACATACTTAGATTTGAGTTAAGAACTGAAAAAAACCACGTGGGAGGCAGGGAAAGTGCAAAATTTGAACTTTCAGTTAACTGTTGGCCAGTGAAAACGGTGCCTGTCTGCTTCCTCACTCCTCCCAGCGTTTAGAGAGTAGATTGGGAGACAGTCTTCAGACTGCCTGGACTGTATTTTCCCTGCCTTCCCTGAACCTTTCTTGACCCAAGAAAAAAAGAAACAAAATATCCCCCCTCTAGTGGTCG